CAGCAACTGGTATATATGCGAATACCCCTATCCTGTTATGACTTTACAAAACAATACACCGTAAGTAGGGACAAGCAGGATTAACCCGCTATATCCCCTCACAGCAATTTTATATACATTAGTATATTTATTTTTTTTATTTTTATCCCTTCATATGTCCTCTTGGGCCGACCGCGTCCGCCACCCTAGACATCGCGTTCTGACGCCTCTTCTCGGACCGGACTAGGCCAGCCATCTTAGACATCTCGTACTGATGACATCTTCTCAAGCCGGCCTAAGCCCGCCGCTTTCGAATCCCGTACTGACTTCATCTTTCAGCTCCTGTGGCTTGTCGAGCCCTCTCCTACTCTTCCTTGACGGTGAGAATGCTTTCCAACAATCTTGTAGAAGAGTCTGTGGGTCTTTTCAGCGTGGCAGAGTACAATCGCCCTTTGATGGCCCTTTGCTGGCAGGTCTTCGAATAGAGGACCACAGAGTATGTCGGGCACATCAGCTGTTGTTGGTGGATGCCTGAGGCGCTCAGAGAGGTCGGTTCGTAGACCATTCTAGTTCTCGCAGTGGAACAAGGTGTGTTCTGCTGTGTCCRAGGGGCATTGGCAGTGGACGCACCTTGGGCTTGTGGCCTTAGCGAAGCGGTGGAGGTAGAACTGAAAACAGCCGTGTCCAGTGAGCGCCTGAGTCATGTGGTAGGTCCAGGGGACTATTGGAGTCGTCCTGTTGTACCACCTAACCAGGTCGGGGATGAGGTGGCGAGTCCAGGCAGCCTTGCTTGATCTGGACCACCTCATCTGCCACTCTGCGATAGTCGCCTTCCTCTCATCCTTTTTGATCCTATTTCTGGAGATAGGTAGATCTCCTAGGATAGGTTCGTCGTTGAATCTACCCTTGATCCTCGCCCTCTCCCGAGCGATAAGATCAGCTGGCGGAATGTCCGCCAATAGGAAGGCGGCTTCGTCAGAGACCGTCCTGTAGGCTCTAATAGCCCTCAGGGCAGCAACCCTCTGTGGTCTCCTAAGATTGCTGATGGATTTAGCAGTGCCGCAGACGGTAGTTGCCCACACCGGGATGGCGTAGAGCAGCTGGCTCTCGACTACGGATCCCAGGAGTCTTCTCTTCCATTGCCCGGTCCCGTTGATGTTGGGCATGAGCCTGAAGAGAGCTGCCGCCGAAGTGGCCGCTTTTTTGGCGACCGTTTCGACGTGTTAGCGTAAAATATACCTAACCATCTTAAATTTAAGACTATAATTACTTTTGATTACTAACCGATTTTTTTTATAGGAACATTCAACATTTTATAGTATTTTTTGTGTAAAATTGGTTGGGATTGTAAAATGTTGTTCATCATTCATGGCCAATTATGAAACCAAAAGTTTTCAAAAAATAATCAAATTTTTCTCAAAAATATTTTTATATTTTATAAGTCTCCTAGTAACGCTTGTCCCTTGTCTCCATTTGTAAAATATAATAAGTCAATATTATAGTAAAATTTTAACATTTTTCCATCAGTAGTTTTTGATATACCTAGGATAGTAAACTGTAAACATTGCCTTAAGCTCTTGTGTTCTACTAATGTTTCTTATGACCATCAAYTTATTTCTGCAAGAGAGTATCAGTCTAAATATCAATCATTAAAATATCGTTCATCATTATTTAAATCAATTGTACACAACATGATTTCTTATGTTGGACTAAAAATGCCAATAGTGTGCCATCATGAAAATATATTCCATAACCTTTGTAACAATGTACATAATATTTTTAATTTTGTTGATATTTTAAACTGTCCTGAACWCCATCAAATATTCCCTATTAAAATTGTCGAGATGGTAGTTAAATTGATGATTAATCATTATTGTACAGAAATAAATCGTATATTATTAGGTAAAAGAAAGGTCCGACCAGATGAAAATGACCCAATAAAAAAAATAGCTAATGCTTGGCATATTAAGCACAGCAAGCGAAAGGTGCAAGGAAAGTTTAATTTAGTGACTTAGTGTGATAATATTATAAAGGGAATATTACTTATTGTTATTTTAATAAATTGTTATTTTATATATTTGTACTAAATTATTTGAATACTATACATATTATTAGCTATAATGTTATAATATAATTTTCTTTGTTTGGTATTTGTTAACTAA